TTTTTTTTTTTTAAATTTATCAGTATTGTACAAAGTTTATCTCAGCGAATGCTCAGAATCCTTGCGTTTATTAATTTGTTTTTGTCTGTATTCGTCCGTAATTTGCCAATATAAATATTTGTTTATTGAAATATATATATATATATGTCTATGGCAAACAGCATCGACGTAATTTGTAGATATAAAATCATAGGAAAATATTGGTTACTTCATACGTATTCATTCGATTATAATTTTTTCATTAGAGGTAAACAAAAAAATTGTTTTTTTAATCTCAAATGTTTAATGATGGTAATATGAGATTATTTGTATTAATAAAGTACAAATAATGATATATTATATTATCAGTTAGCAATTATCGACCTTTATATAGTACATCTGGTATTATTAGATATGAATCTTATTCAAAAAATGACAAGATCATTTTTCAGAAGATAATTAACCATCTGGAGTTTTGACATTTTATCTATATCCATTGACAGAATGTAAACAATTCTTGAGATGATTAAATTAACTACAATCGATTTATTTGGTTTGTTTAGATATCTGAAAATCGATATTTTTTAAATTAGTTTTGCTCTTTTACATATATATTTTTTTTTTGGAATAACAAATACATCATAGATATTTTGATATATTCTTCAACAAATGTTCATATTTTTGTTATAGATTAACAAACAATTTATCGTCGATTGAATTCATACAATTTTTTTTAATGTTAAAACATAAACAAATCAATAAATTGGCTTGTTTTTTTTTTTGAAAGAAATTTTAATTCATTAATAAAAATAGTTTAAAGATTGTTTTTTTTTATCCATTCGTTATGACCGTTTTATTGAATTTTCGACTCATTTTTAGGTATTTACTGAAAAACCAAATCATGAAATTTCGATCCATAGAGAGATCTTAAAATATCCTGAAAGTTTCAGCAGAAAAGACTGTTTCTTTGTCGAGATATTAAATTTCTAAATAAACTGGATTTTTATGAAATGTTTATGGTCAGCGACTATCTATTGAAAATTTAATATCTCGACAAAGGAATATTCTAAGGATCATTAGATCTCTCTGTGAGCCAGTAAATATCTAAAAATCAGCCGAAAATTAGAGTAAAACAGTCATAACTCAGCTACAGTTATCGATAGGCACGAATTCTTTTAAAAGCTCAAACAGTGAGTTACAGATCAGGTAGTTGCCTTGTTAGTGCAAAATACAACCGAATTGTCATCAAACTCTTTTTTCCCAAATTTAAATACTTTTATTGCTCATATGGACTAGTGAATTTTCTTCTTTTTACTTTTCAAATAGAATTTTTTTTTAAATTCTTTCTAGATAAATAAATATGGAAGAAGAACAAAAAAAATCTATTGATAATACATCAAATATTATTGTATCTGATGATCCAAAAAAAGCTGAAACCAATACAAATATCGATACTGAACTATCTCATTCACCAAAAAAACAAAAGAAAGTCGAAGATATTAATTCTATTTCTACATTATCACATGATATTGTTGAATCTAAACAAGAAATAAAAACTAATAATAACAATCAATTAAAATCTACATCATCAAAAATTCCAATACATACACATTATCAAGATATTTCATGTTACAATGAAAAAGATTCTAGTTATTGTAGTTTTTCTACTACGAATAAAAAACCTACTGAATCTTTAGAAACATCAAATAAAAAATCTGATTCTACACAACCAAATTCTATTCAAATACTTCTTAATCAAGCTTCAACTATTACAACTGATCAAGATTCTGATGAAGATGAACAAGAAAAAAAATTAATTGCTGCTAAAAAATTACTTTTTCCCGATGTAGTTGCAACATCATTTCCTGAAATAGCTGATACATTACGAGATGAACGACGACAAGAATTTTGTCCTATTTATCAAGATGAAACACCAGAACAAATAGCTTTACGTCAAGAAAAACAAAAACCTGTTGGTAGTCTTCTTGCAAAACGTATACGTTGGGATGATTTAAAACGTAAACGTGAAGAAGAAGAAAAAAAAGCACAAACACAATTTCGTTATGGTCCATATGGACCAATATATACAAATCAACAATCAAAACAATCATTTGCTAATCCGTATGAACAATATTATGCAACAATGCAAAATCAATATGAACAGGTACATTCTTCATAGTAGATTATTGAGCAAAAAAAAATGCTGACACTTCTCTAGAGATGAATAAAAA